CGGTCAGCAACCTGTCCATCTCTTATATGTCTCTCGGGAATGCATGCACTGTGATCTCTTCTTCAGTTGCTGAAATACCGGGACAGTCCCTCACACAGCACCTTTTATACTCTGTTTCACCTTATGATGTACCGCAGGAAAGGCTCAAAGCGCGAGCTTCTTGCTCTAGGGCGCATGGCAGCGGCACAAGCTCTCGTCCGTTAAGAGCAGCTCCCAACGCTATGAGATCGCGCTTCTAGCCTTGTCTGCGGTACAACATAAGGTGAAACGGAGTATAGGCATTGCAGTTGATCACGTCAATTCACTGACTCCTCTTCTTCAGCGGCATTAAGCGATGAAAAGCAAATAAAAGAAACCTCGTCTGCTTGGATCGCTCGTGGAGATGCGGAGAATAACAAAAATATATAAAAAAAAATATTACACGCGCTTGCGGTAAGCACGGGGAAGGAGAGAACTCACGTGACTTCCGGCGATGACTCCCTTCTGACCGCCCCGACACCTTGTGGTACACTGTTACGTCACAGTGCACTGGCGGGAACATAAATTGAATTGGGCCTCGTACTTCTATTTTTTATGAGAAAACTACGCAACTCTCTAGTGAAAAATTTTTGTGTAATGTCCTGATATGCCATTTCAACGCCTAGCATGAATTTTTTTTTTTATTGGCGTGTCAGAGGTTTTTTAAGAACGTGTGGTGGCAGTTGAGTGTACACTCGAAAACACCTGGTGCATCTACTTCCCCACCGAAGCACGCGTGAGAGGCAATCGTTCCAACCTACGGAGGGATTTCGGCGAACAACAAGGCTGGTATGTTTAGACCTAAAACCACAGCCAGTGCTTTGGCACTGAAAATGACGCGTCCCTTGCTCAGTGCCACAGCGCAGACGTTTTAGTTCTAAACGTAAACTGAAGCTCGTCATTAGGGAGTTTTCGTAGATCGTTTTCGCCGTCCCGCAAGGCCCTCCGCAATCCGCTACGATAGCGGGAAGTCCACAGTCAAGGCTATCGGCGCGCAGGCGCAGTAGCGACTTCTTCGTAGCGGAACGCTTAGCGGAGGGGGTAGCGCGGTCTACGAAAACTCCCTAATGGCCGGACTCCTTCCGTAAGCTCCAGCGATTGGCTTTCGCACGTGCCTTGTAGGAAAGCAAACTCTCGGATTCTTTTTAGAGCATTTGATAAAGGAAGTCAGCAAAGGATAGCTGCAGTAGGCGGGATAGTTTTTTTGTATAAAATGTCTTTTTTTTTGTGCACATTACCGTTAACCGCCCGCCTCCCCCCTAAAAAAAAGTGTTGAAAAGGATTAGGCGGGCACACAGAAAGTATCTAGTCTGTTACTATCCTCCAATTTCTTATAAACTGATTCGAAGTCACGATTATCAACAACTCATTAACAAAGCACACACACACAAACGCACGCACGCACGCACACTCGCACACAAACACACACACACACACACACGCACACACCCGTCGTAATTTTTACGGGTAAGTAAAGCGCCTCTTGGCCAAAGCACAGGGGACAAGCTGGAGTATCGGTGCCACGAGCCATACCACAATGTCTCGGCCACAAGGAATCGATGTCGCCATCAAGGGTTCAAAGTTTAAGCTTGATGACCACCGTGGGTCCTCATCTTTAAGTCCATACGCAGTCGATGCCACAAGCGCGAGCTCCGGACTTTCATTGTCCCTTCCAAGCACGCACGCTCGTGCAGTGCAAGCACTGTTCAGAGACTGTAATGAACCGACCACTTCGGCCAAATCTCTTCTCCATGGTGATCCGTTCGCTGTCAGCTCAGCGAGCCAGACAGGTCACTCCCGGAATTATTTCCACCCTTCATGAGGCCTGCACCTGGGAACATTCATCCTTACCCGTTCCCCGACGTACCGAACCAGCCGCCCGGCCAGTCTTCCCTAGTCCCTAATCTCTGTCCGCCGTCGTTCCTTCGTGCTCGGACGAAGTAGAGTGCCTTCATGTGCGCTTTTCATGTGCGCTTCGCATAGAGTGATGCCAACTGCCTGTTTCCCTTTCCCACACCCTCTTCCACCGCCATTTTGTTCCTCTCATTGTTTCCCCGTGCGCCGGAAGGTGGCCTTTATGTCCATCGGTAATCCCATCCGAGGGGGAAAAGGCTAATCCTCCCTCCGTGGGTTCCACAACGCTGCTCCGAAATTCTGAGATAAGGTGCTTGTTTCTGGGAGGGTTATAAGCCCCACGGATTATCGCCGAGGAACAAAATGGCTGCTGGTTTGTCGGCGAGTGGTATTACAAAGGGTGGCATCACCCTAGCAAAGCGCACATGAAGGCTCCCTAGGACAAAGAAGCCGGACTAGCTACCTCAGGTACACCGTGCTCTGGTATTCTTTCGCCCCTTTTAACGTGTGTCCTTCGAGTCGCCCGAGACCACCTGCAGGAAGGACGCGGGCTAATCTCCGGCGGCGGCGGCGGTGTCTTAAAAGGGGGGGGGGGGGGGGGGGATGCAACGATTTTTTAATTAAAAGAATTTGCATCTCGTCATTTTTACGTTGTTCATCGTGTCCCAGAGGATAGAGAAAACATCTTCATTAAAAATGTCGCGATTCCGCTGCATAATCGCAAAGCAAAAGCCGAGCTTTTTCCGCCACCTGCAGCCGCGAGAGGCAGTTGAAGGAACTACGGCTAGAAGTTTACGTGACCTCGCTCGACACTAAGCAGTGCAGCATAACGCCCGCCAATGTCAGCAGAGAGAGAGAGAGAGAAAGCGTCCTCCGACATAGCACACGGGGACCTACACAGCACTCCGAATGACTTCACTAGGAGGGGGACCAGGTGTGACCCTGAAGACTGGGAGTGAGTTGAGGGATGCCCGAAATGCCAATATTTATCTTTTTTTTTTTTTTTTTTTTTTTTACGCAACAATTAGGACAGTCAGGCGAAATCGGTTTTCTGTTTTTTACTTCAGAAGTGTCAGAGGGCAACTTCCACAAATGTTTGACCGAAATCCGGAAATCGTTGCACCCCCCTTTAACTGCAAAGACCAGCTAGCACGTCGCGCTGGCACCCGGGAGACAAGGGCGTCCTTGAAACAGTTGATCTTTCCGGTGTGGTCGTGTGTGTGGTTGAGGCTGGGCTTGTACGTGGGAGGGACGAGCCTACGGAGCCGACTCGAGGGAGTGGCGTGCCCATAAAAGAAGTGAACTTCTGCCAGAAGGAGGCTTCCTGCTTTGTTTTGCTACCTGAACAAGTGTAACTTAAGCTTCTGTCGAAAACTCACCGTGGTTCCGAGACCCACCTTCCCGATGTCCTGGTCGGCGTCTGGCTCCAGTGGAGCCAGACAATGAGGACGATCCTGGGTTCGCTAGAAGACACGTGCCCGCGTTTGTAGCATCGGCTGCGTCTAGGCTTCAGCTGAAACAAAGTATAAAGCCCCTTGATAAAATTTATGCTTGGTGTTTTCCACATGTAACGGCAGCCATTGTTGGGTGAACGCGGAAGTGACGTGCAACGAGCGAGTACTCCGCCGCTATTCTCTTCCAAGGGCCGCTCATCCCAGTGCATCGCCGGAATTGACTTACCAGGGCTGCATGATGCGGCTCGTGCAGTTGCGCATTTGATGCTACTTGTAAATTCAAACGGGGTCCTTAGTAGCCCCCGTACACTTCTTTCCCCTACCACCCTCATTTCGGGCGATTTTCACGGAGAGGTCGCGACGTTAATGTTCCTATCAATAAATACGCCTGAAACACCAACAAAATTAATCCTTTATAAAAAAAAAAAAAAAAAAAAACAAGCAACAACAACATAGTGAGCGTTTGACCAAATCGTGCAAATTCAGCAAAGCCGCCCACAACGATGCTTTTGAGTGCTATCGGCTTTCGCAAGTTCCTTCAATGCGCGGGTGTTCGTGCAGAAAGACGTTTTCTGTGGAGCACTTTCGCACACACTACTGCCACTAAATAAGCTACGCTTCAGAGTAACGACACTTCGCCATATTGTGTCTTAAAATCATGGTTGCCAGCTATCTGAAGCTTTATCTGAAATCAGAGGAAAGGCTTTTCCGCCCTCCACAAATATTTAAACTGCTCGCGACAAAGCAAAGCAATATGACATGACCTTCCTAACACCGAATCTGATGCTGAGGAAGACGCACTTTTGAATCATGACGATCGGCAGTTGCGTCTGCTCTGCATACGAGCCAAAATGGCGGCGACCACAACACTGTCGGGGAATGGAGTGCCGATACTCTAAGCGCAGCTCCTTTAGTGACTCTAGCACACACTTAACTGCCAGTGCTTACTGCGGAGACGAAGTCGACGCGATGGGTTCACGTGCGCTCGCTCACCTTTATAGTGCTTTACTCTTCACTTCTAAAATGCCGCGCTTTGTTAGATGGGTCGCAGCCGAATCGTGGAAGACACCGTCGGCCACCGAGCTCTGCCAATTTGCGTGGCGCGCGGTTCGCGTACAAGGTGAACAGGCCTTGTCCCACGCGCCGCTCGCGAATGTGCGCTGCACGTGCCGCTCCAATCGTGCCCTAGTCGTCGGTGCTGCCGGTTGGGTGCTGCCCTCTGCTTGGCCGAGGATGTGCCCTGTCCTTTAGCGCCCGGTGCCGGCTGCCCTCAGGAAGCTGCTGCTTCGGGCTTGAAGTCTCTCCGCGGTGAGCCTGACCTCCGATAGCGCCTGTCTTTGCGGACCTGGGGTTACGAAGCCCCAAGCTAACGGTTGGATGCTTTCGAATGCTGTTGCTGATCTATCGTAGAACACTTTTGGTCGAGACATCGGTCTCGCTTTCGTTTCTTTCCTCGACGCCGCGTCTCTCCTAGGTTAAGAGGTGGTGTAAGGTGATCGTCTTCTGTAATTTTGAGTTTGGACTAGGTTTCGCTTTGGGATTGCTTTTGAGCTTAGTGTCTGGAGTTTGGTAATGAATGTTCCGCACAGTGTTGTTTTTAAGTAGTTCTTTATCTGGAAATGTGGCCGAAAATTTCACCATTGCCATCACGGTTCAGGGGGCCGTGGTGGGAAGTCTTGTGGGCGGGCCGTTACGGCTTTGAATAAATATTTGTTCCAGTCTGTCTCTTTCTTTTTTCTACGAGACGGTTGGCGAGGTAGTTGAGGTACCTGTAGGTAGATGCTGTTTGATGTGCTTACGTGCCACTTTCCTTTCAGACAGCGGAGGAAAGCCCCCACGTCTTGTCGGCCGCCTTTCCCGTTCCGGCACCATGCCCGACGACGATGATGATGACGCCAAGAAGAAAGGCAAAGGCAAAAAAGGAGGCTCAAAGGACAAAGGAAAGGGCAAGAAGGGTGGCTCCAAAGACAAGGGAAAAGGCAAGAAAAAAGGCTCCAAAGACAAAGGCAAGGACAAGAAGGGCGGCAAGTCACCCAAGGGCAAGAAGGGAAAGTCACCAAAGAAGGAGAAGGAGTCCGAGGGAGAGGCGTCCGCCACCGAAGAGGGATCCGGAGGAGGGTCCGAGGGGGGATCACCCAAGGCAGCTGAGGCCGCTGCTCCGGCTGCGGGAGCTGCACCCGGAGCCGCGGCTGCCCCCGGAGCGGTGGCCCGGGCCCGCAGCTTCTACAGCGAGCCGCAGTCCATGTACGACGAGGGTTTTGATGACGACTTCTACGTTGACATCACGTGCTACCCACCACGCCGTGGCGGCGCTCCACCGATGGGAGGATACTACGGAGGTTCGCCGATGGACATGTGCTACGACCGGCCACCGCCACGTCCCATGCAGATGCCCATGGGCATGTCACCGTCCATGTGGGGACAGCAGCCGTCTTCCATGATGGGCATGAGCATACAGAACGTAAGTCAGCAGATGGGTCCGCAGACGACGACCCTCACGCCCGGCTCGCCGCCGATGGCCTTTAAGACTCCGTCTACGACGGTTATTGTGAACATGAGCGGCGAGAGGATTAACCGCGGTGGCTCGAGGCCTATGTCGCCCGTTGGTGGACCGATGATAGGGGGAAGGGGCGCAATGGGCGGCATGGGCTTTATGGGAGGCATGGGATCGATGGCTGGCATGGGGATGGGCATGCAGGGCATGCCTGGAGCGCCGGCTGTTCCCGGAAACAAGTCTCCGATCGTGATGTCGCAGCCGATTACCAACACGGGACTGACGCCACAGATGCAGCAGCTGCTGCTGCGAGGGATGCCTGGCTACACGGCTACGGTGGTGCTCATTTTGGTTCCAAATCCCTGAAGAGCTGCGCCCGATACTTTCGGGGACAAGAATAAACGCAAAATTCTTTAAAGTGCTCGAGCCTGCGTTTCATTGCAACTGTGTCGATTTGCAGGTACTTGTGTCACTGAATGTTGATAGAGTTGTGAACTTCCTTCAGTCCGCTGAGGTAAATACCCCAAAATCCAGTTCTCATTGTCTGGTTTGGCTCGTAACGGAAGCTATCATTGGGCCATTTTTTGGATCGGCACGAAAAAAAAAAATAAAAACGTTTTCGCGTTGCCACGGCTACAGCACGTACGCAAGTGTGGGAGCTCTGGATGTCGAGTGTACACCCTTTCCCCAAGGGCGCAGCCATCTTGAATGTCGTCACTTCTGGTATGCGGTAAACCGTAAAACATAGCTTTGATCTCTCCACGCCGCTGGAAGGTGTTTATGAAAAATGCGTGATTGTCACACATTCCTGTTTTGCTTCACCTTTTCTTTTCCCGCAAATTCCAAGTTGAAATGCATTTTTTTTTGTCCCACATACCAGATACGGAACCCACGTGACTGAGATCGACAGGAAGCAGAAAATGTGTATAGACGCTTTGCAGCAGCTGTGCATGGGCGCCGCCATAACCGACCTTCAGTTTTTGTTTCCTCTTATTCCGTTTACTTCCCTTTGTCATTTACATAGCAGGCCAGGTCATTGTCATTTTAGATTCTACTGTGTCCTTTTCTCCAGCGTTGGCCTTTCTGGAGACTCGTAAACTCCCGTCTCTGGTGGCTCGGTCCCGGTAAAACAAGAGAAGGTCAGCAATGGCGGATGTAGTCTGGCGCGTGTGTAAAGCGTCTATAGTTTGGACCAAAAAATGTTTGTTGATTTTCTCTAGATTTTTATTTTTATGCGCTATTTCGGTTCTCCAAAGAAGATGTTGCGTCCCGTTGCGCTGGTGCTGCGTTTCAAACCCTACGCCTCAGAAACTAAGCCTAACACTCGACTTGGATGTGTTTCGAGGCGAGAGAGAAAGACGAGACAGCGACGAGGAAGTCACGCACCGCTCGAAACGAAGGAAATAACTTTAAGGGGATTCACCCGCTGGTCACTCAATGGGCCAGAGTAGCGATGTGGGCGAGTTGGTTCACGCTCGTCCTGTGTACTCCTTTTCCTCCCGTCCTTGTCGTTTGCGCGCTGTTTCCATTATTTCCACTCAATGGGCGAATTTCGCTGCACAAACAAGAGTTTCAGGAATGCACCAGAGTGCTGATTCGTTTTGAACTTCATTAGGAAGATATAATGAAGGTCGTACGGCCCTTAGATTTCCCCTTGACCCAGAAATGTTTATTTAATTCCAGAAATAGGACCATTTTGGCTCTTTTGAGCGCATTTTAAGTCAATTTTGAAATTAAGATTACTTAGATCATAAAAATGTCAAAACGAATGGTAGTACGTACTTGAGGTGTCTTCTATCCTAATTTTAAGGCCATGACGGGAAGCCTAAATGTCTTGGTATTTGCGTAAATAAATTTGACAGGGCAGTTTTTGCTAGACTTTTTTTCAATGGGTTCAACGAGATGGCGACACCAGCACCAAATCCTCCATCCTGAGAAAAGTGGCGCCATCCATTGTTGTGGAAACACTCGAGACATGTGCCGCGCGCCACTTCTTGGAAGAACATGGTGTCTGAAATCTAGCTCAGTGCTGCGCTGTGCCGCCATGATCTTCCCAAGGGCTGCAGGTTGCACGTGCCTCGTGCATCGACGCACCTTGCGCTACTTTTGAAACATAAAGGGGCTTTACAAATGGGCTTCCGCCGGACATCAAAGCCGGGGTGATGGCTAGTAGCCTGGACCTCCAGGTAGCGGCCATCCAGCAGGCCCGGCGTCTACTGCGCAGGCAGGTCCAACCTCGGGCCCCCTGCGCTGGGGCGTCGGATGGTGTGGGCCGCACCGGCTAGGCTTGACCTAGCTCTGCAGGCAAATAAAGACGTTTATTCCTCCTCCTCCTGCCCCAAGCCATTGTATTTGTTATTATTGCTGTTCTCACGCGATTGCACGGACCTCGACTCGCGTCACGAATCCTTTCCTTGTCACCGCCGATATGCCGTCGAGAAGATCAGTTTTGCAGTTTCGCCGCAGAATGATCTGTGTGAGAGTTCTGTCTGTTGCACCACACAAAAGACTAGGAGGACCAATGAGAGGCGACGCATTCATAACGTTGGGATGTCATGGCAACGTGCTGTGTCTCGGCGCGGCACAACGATCTTTCACTTTCACTTTTTGAGTGACCGCGGTCGATGCCATGACCTATGCAGCCAATCTAGTGTACAAGAACGTGCCACGTAATTTCGCGCTTCGCGAATCCTTTGGTCACGCCATAGTAAGGCACCTGGACGTGTTTGTCTGTCTTGCAAGTGTAAGGAAATCCTCAAATTTGTCAGTGCACGAGCCCGTTCCTCGTGCGGCGCTTGGGAGCAAATGGCGACGTACCACTAAAATGAGCGCCTATGGAGCGGCACCTGAAAGGAAACTGCGGCGCGGCCCTTGATCGTGGCACGGCCACTCGATTAGGACTCCCCTTGGGAGCGGCCTGCCGTATGCCTCATTCCGCCGGTGAGAGCGATAGTTCTACTTTACCCCGCAGTGCCAGCTGTGGCGCTCGTTATCGGTGACTGCTAAAGTTCCTTTCGGGGAAGCATATCGAGGAACTCTATTCTTCGTTTCACGTTAGTATGTACTTGTTAGCCGCGCGTGCTAAAAGCGCGAGATAGTTGCTTCGAAGGAAGCCTCGGCGGCTGCATGAGCGCTCGTGCAGCGAGTGCTCCAGTCAAGGCAGTAAAGGCTAGCCGCTCGCGCTAGCACAGCGTTCGCGGTTAGTCCATGCTAAGGTAACACGAAATATAGTGAGAGAGGAGCAGTACGCCCGGCCCGGCCCGGTGTGGCTATTTAGGTTTTTTTTTTCGTGAAGCCGCAAGTCTCAATTGAAACGAGCGCCAGATTGCATGAATGATGTGACAAATCTGTGTAGAATAAAAGCACATGATTCTTTCTGCGAGGAGCTCACTCAGCTGCAGGCTGCGCGCTAAAGCTTCACTCTGCTGGCAGTATGAGCGAATTAACGTTTTCTTGTTCCCGTAACTGTTGCCCCGTTTCTATTACCACTGTCATATAAGAGTTATAGTTGGATATAGCTAGATATAGCTAGGCCGTATGATTTCCTTTAACCGACGCTCGAGCACGCGCGAGCTGTGCCATTAATTCATCTGTGAAGGACAATATAAAATCAGATTCCGTGTGCATAACTTCAGCAATATAAACTTCACTGTTCACAAAAGACAGATCAAGGGAGTCATATAGTTCACAAGCGGAGTACCTTTCGGGAAAGAGGCTTCCTCGAAAGCCTCAATATATTCTCTAGTGGGCTGTTTAGGTCACCAGCCCAGTTTGCCAAAAAAAGGTCTGAGGAGGTTTCTGAGAAAGGGCTCGCAGAGCTCTTCGCTGTGGTAGGTGTCTCGGCAGTTAACACACCACATCAGCGGGCAGTCCATAAGGTGTGGTAGCACAGCGCTCGAGAGGACCTTGCAAATCCTTCCACAACCACGAATCTCTGCCGACTGTAGAGCCCTCTCGACAAAGGTGCAGACGAGCTTGCACAGCCAGACAGCTTCAGGCCGTGGATAGCTGAGTCCGTCTTGGTCAAGGCTAAACATGGACTGATATGCTCCGTCATGTGATGCATTTCCCTTAAGTTACGCTTGCATTCACGTCACCTGCAAAGTTTAGCAGGTTCTACACATTAGCCTTCCTTGCTTTCACTGAGAAATTCTTATTGCTTTGCTAGGTTGAATGTTTCAGCTAATTACTTTGAAATTACGACAATTTCTTCAAATAAAAATGGTCACCTTTAGTTCGCAAACGAAGGCCAAGTAGCCAGCCATGTAAGTCAGCGGTGCGAACTCATGTTCGGAAGGGACTTCATTGTACTTCATCAACTGCAGGATTTCCTGTTTCACGAGTGGAGTTGGCACATTTCATCGTCGTCTGGCACTCAGAACTAGAACCCGCATTTACATTTCCGGCAGCTTCCCAAAATGCCAACACAAACCACACACGCGGGCGCAGAGTGACACTGCGATATTTTCGCCGAGCACAGCGGTGCATAGGTGGGGGGAAAGCGAGGTTTGCTGCCTTCTGCAACCGCGGCAGCGCCTCGGTATCGGGGAAGCCAATGACAGGCAGATATTTTATCTGGGTAGCGGAGCTAGAGCGCGTTGGGCGCCTTCTCTATACTCCGTTTCACCTTATGTTGTACCGCAGCGAAGGCTGGAAGCGCGAGCTCATAGCCGTTGACAGCTGCCCTACTGCACGAGAGCTCGTGCCGCCGAGACCTGCCCCAAAGCAAAAAGCTCGCGCTTACAGCCTTTCCTGCGGTACAACATAAGGTGAAAGAGATTATTAGCGGCGAGATGTTTTGGTGGCGCCCTCCTATGGTTCCCCTTGTGACGTCATTACCTTGCGAACAACAAGTTCGATGGTGTTTGTAAATAGCATGGTGGAAGCCTGAAATCATTGCGCTCTGAAAGGAACACTGCCAACACCTTCATTCTTCTTATTTCCGTCGATGGTATACCCTTTCCGACGTCATAGTCAGCTTTTGGGCCAATCGTGAAAGGCCGACCACAGCGACGCTTTCGGTCACGCACGTCGCCAATAGCTTTCAGCTCACAAGACCGCTCACCGATGTGCAGCGCTTCCACGGAAAATGGGCGAAGTTCTCCTCTCACGCGCGCTCTTTTGTTTTCGGAAAAACATCGGCAGGCCGCACCAACAGGGGGGATCGAGTGGCCGTGCTCGTGGTCTCGCGTGTCTCTCGCGTTCGCCAACAGTAGTAGCCAGTAAGCATGAATATTATCCAATGCTCACAACGCTGATTTGGCTTCCCTGTATAGACGCTTTGCAGCAGCTGTGCATGGACGCCGCCATAACTGACCTTCAGTTTTTGTTTCCTCATATTTCGTTTATTTCACTTCATCATTACCATA